TTAAAACTTACCTGTCCCCTGTCCCACAGCTTCAGGGAGGCTGGTGTCTTGATGCTGAACTCCAGTATGGTTGCCAGCTGGTTGATGTGTTTTGGGAGACCATGCCTTGGCTCAGAAGCCTGAGGCTATAACCACAGAATTCTGGGCACTGACGCTGGAGTTGGGAAGATGTTTGAGGGCAGTGGACTCCCTCAAACCATGTGGGCAGCTGGCCGGCCTGTTCCAGCTGCCTAGCCTGTTCCAGCTGGCCTGCAGGCTTGGAAAATGATTTTAGATGCTCCAGGAAGGATCACCCACTGGCACTCAGCAGCACCAAAATAATGACAGAAATGCATCTCCTGGTGCAAAAAGGCAGCCCTTCACCTCAGAGTTAGAAAGAACAGGTGCCCTGAGAGGAGATGCCAGTTGCCCTGCAGTCAGCAAACCCCTTCCTGGGAGTGGAGTTTGGTTTAACTCTTTGCTATGGAAATTTTCCAACATACAGGAAGGAGAGCAGGATAAAGACTTCCCATGTGCCCATATCCCGCTCAAGAATCATCCGCTTTCGGCCACCTTGGCTTCAGATCTGCCGCTCCCTGCCCACTGTACTTTGAAGCAAACTGGGGCTGGTTTTAGAATAAAAGGAGGAAGAGGTGCCCTGGAAGTTAAGTGGGCCCCCAGGGGTAGCTGCACCCAGAATGGGGGTGGGGGTCCTGGTTCTGCGGATGGAGTAGGAGGAGGTCTGGCTGAAGGAGCCAAGCCCCATTTCCTGCGCAAACCCCACCTCCCTTTGTTTTCTCTCTCCCCCCCCTTGTTCATCCTCACTCGCAATAAAAACATAATTATGGGGCTTTATAGAAAAAAAAGGCAAATTATGGTGACATGCTTTAATTATCCGCCGAGCAATGGCGGGCTGAATTACACAGGCAGGGCCTTGGAGGTTACCTAAAAATAAAGCAAGAATCCTCATCAGATGCTAATTGCTGCTTTTGCCAACTGGAGTGAGGTTCTGGTGCCTGAGTGCCATTCAGTGCTGGGTTGGGGGCAGGGGAGGTGGGCCTGAGCCCTGTGAGGCTCAGAGTGCCAGGGCCAAGCCCTGAGGGGCAGCTGGGACCATCCAGGGCAGGCAGGAGGACAGAAGGAGCCCTCAGTGCCAGGGGAGTGCCTCCGTGTCCCCTCCTGTTCAGCGGGCAGATGGAAACCTGGGACTGGGAGGTGGACCCAGTGAGGGTGTCAGAAAGAGGCCACCCCACCTCCTGCAGGCTCAGCTTCTTCTCAGGGGCTCCCCGGCACCTCTTGGAGGACCTGGAGGCTGAGGTGGTGTGGGCGACTGGCATGTGATCCACTGAGCCCTCTTTCCTGCCTGGCTGTATGCCTCTGCCTCCAGAGCCTGAGACGGCGAGACGGGAGGGGCAGACCATAGGACATTAGAGCTCAGAACAGCACCACTGAGCCGGAAGGGACCTGAGACTCCAGCTTGCCCTCTCTCCTGCGGCTTGTCTCCCCAGGGTTCTAGGAGTTCCACAGAGGTGCTCTGTGCATCCAGCTGGGCGCCTGCTCAGGCTGGTAGCAGCACAACCTTGGGCTTGAGCCCCAGGCAAGCTCGAGTGGACGCTGTTGCTCCCTCCTGACTTCACAGACAAAGTCTGGTACCACACCTGGCCCACTTGGCTGCACAGCCCATCTGCTGGGGAGCTTTTAAATTGTGCCCATGCCCAGCCCTCCCTGCAGAAGTTCAGGTCCAGTGTTCTGGAGAGGCCCGGCATCTGTGTAAGTTCCCCTGCTGGTTAGAAAGCGTGCTGTGGGGTGGGATGGCCACTAGCCCAATCCCTTTGTTCGGACATTGAGGAGGCTGAGGCCGAGGGGGTGAGGACATACCCCTTGCACACAGCAAAGGTCTCTGGAGACAGCTGGCTCCCTATCCGGGGCACCAGGGACCCTAGACCCCTCCCCCACCCCCACCAACATCTTGTTGAGATCTAACATTCTGAAGACACTTAGCAGCTTTCCCCGGGCATTAATAATTGAGGATGAGACCAAAGGTGAGCAGCCAAGCCTCCCGGGAGGGGCCAGGCATTCCTCCCGCCACAGGCATCAGGGCAGGTCCCACCCAGGCCAGCTGTGGGCCCCAGCCCTGGCTGCACTGGCCCGAGCCTTCTAGGTGATGGACCCAAGACCCCAGCAGTACCCATCCTCCCAACTGCTGCAGGTCTAGCTGGCAAAAGTCTTGCTAAGGCCTGGTTCCCTCCCATCCACCTCAGACCCACAGAGCCCACCCACACCTCCACACCCCAGGCTCAGATGCCCAAAGTCACACCCACCCAAGGCTTCCCTCCTCCACCCAACCTCATTCTCACAGTCATTTGACTTTGGGACACAGTCTGCTGCATCTCCCCCCTCACGCTGGAAGCTGCCTGAGGGCAGGCCTGTTTCTCTCCAATGGCAGGGGACAGGTGGTCCCTGAGAGCCCCTCCTGAGAGCCAAGGGGCAGCATCCCCCTTGAAGAAGTGGCTCTCCCCTTAGAACCTAGATTGGGCCCCACAGATGGAGGGGGACCTAGCCAAGTCCTGGGCTGAGGGTTAAACCCCTGGGCTCCAGGCCCTGCTGTGGACCTGGCCTTAGGACTCAGAGCATCAATCACTTCAGGAGGACGTGAGCCACAGAGCAGGCCGGGTGCCCAGGCTGGGGGTGCTGCCAGAGTCTCCCTCAGGGAGAGCTGGCTGGACCCCCTTCTACATTCCTATCACCCTCCCCTCCACTGCCCTGGAAGCTTTTGGCAGATACCCTTGATCTGGCCACCTAGTTCTGCCTTAGTGGGCTGGAGCACTGGGTGGAACCTCCCCTGGGCAGTGGTGGTTTTAGGAATCATTCTGACAAGCAGGACGATCAGCAAGATGCTTCCCTTCCTGTCTCCCTCACACAGACATTTATTGAGCATCTACTAGGTGCTGCACACAGATCCCAGGGTAGAAGAGATTTCCTAAGCACAGGTGTGTGAGATGCCCAGGCCAGGAGTAAGAGTGGGCTGATGGAGGGGACATAACACCTGGTGTGATTCCGTGTCCTCACACCCAGTCCCTGCCCCTGCCCAGGCTTCCTCCAGTCCCTTCCACTGTGCCCCATAGCCCTGTCAGCTAGTCTGGAGGTGGGAGGGGGTGCAGGACCTGGGGGCAGGGCAGGGGCGGGGCAGGACAGGCAGCCCGGTTCCAGCTGCTGCCTGTGGCCTCATTGTCGCTGGCTCTATAATTTACCCCTGGCAGAGCCCAGCCCTAAATGTTCCCGTTTCCCACCTCCCAACCTGCCAGGGAAGCAGGTTGAGCCTTCTCAGTGATTGTCTCAGGCCACGGGCCTGAAACAGGCATCCTCACAAGCCACCGGGGCCTAAACAGACGATCAGACACTCAAGACAGACACGCATATGCATGGAGGCACCGGGCGTGCACACAGACACGCAGCCAACACAGCCATGCGGCCACGCCTGTGCCGTGCACTTGTGGGCCCACGTGGACACACACCACACACTGATCTCCAGGACAGACACACATCGTCTTAGCACCGAACCTGGAGACAACACAAGTAGGCGGGGACAGCTGTGATGCTGGCAGCCCCGGAAGCTACCTTCTCAAGAGGATTTCCTGGCTGGAAGGAGAGAGGTGAAGGTTATGGGGGGCGGGGGTGGGAGGGCAGTCCCAGGTGTGAGGGGTGTGAGACAGACGGCAGGCAGGGCAGAAAAGTTACCTCCCAGGGCTGCAGGGCAGGGGACAGAGCATCTCCCTACCGAGGGGACTACCAGGTGCTGATTCCTGGAATTTCCTGCAATGTCCCTGCCCCTTACCTGGAAACCTGGCCCCTCCCTGCCCAAGGCCTCTCCACGCCACCCTAGATCCCAGCCTAGGGAGCAGTCTCCACAGCCCCCAAGCCCTGGGTCTCCACAGCCCAGGTCCCGCTTCCCTCTAGGTCCAGGCCCTCCAGCTGCAGGCTGAGCCTAGGGTCCCGTGGCAGGACCCTCAGTGGATGTGGAGCCCGGGTGCAAAACCATGTGTTTATTTTTATTAGAAATGTTCTTGGTATAAAAACAATCATGCGCTACACATTGTTGTCAATAACCATCACCAAACACCCAGGCACTGAACTCCGTGTGGTCGGCAGGAGGGGCAGGCGGGCGGGCAGGCGGGCAGGACACACGGCAGACGGGCGGGGCGGGCGGGCAGGCTGCGGGCCACAGGGACACACACAGAGGCCAGCGGGAGGACGCAGCACTTGGCAACACACTCGAGATTTGTTTTTGTTTTGGCTTTTTTGTGTTTTGATTTTTTTTCCTTTTTTCTCTTTTGTGACATGGAAGGTTTGGTGAATTGGGGAAGGGTGGCAGGGAGAGCGGAGCAACGGCTGCACGAGAATGAAGCGGACGAGGTCAGGAAAGAAAACAGCAGAAGAGTGACACCGGTGGGACGCAAGAAAGCAGGAGGAGCTGAGGACAGAGAGGATGAGGGAGAGGAATCAGAGGCAAGAGCCAGAAACGAGACACAGAAAGCAGCCGGGGACACCAGAGAGGGGAAAGGTGAAACAAATTGATAAGAGAACAGAAAGACAGGGCTGGAGACAGATGGGGGTGTCGCCAGCAACACAGACAGACACAGAGGGAGGGAGAGGTCTAGCACTGGGGCCCACACGACCTGAGCCCCTGTGGTTTGGGGCTGGGAGGGGCAATGGTCCAAGATGCAGGCTCTCGGGATGGCCTGGCACTGCCCCAGCCCCTTGTCTTCCTGTTGCCCACCCGGCTTTCCCAGGCTGCCAGCAGTGACGGCCGGGGGCTCTGCTATCCTCAGCACCAAGCCATGTCCGTGGGCGCCCACGGGCAGGCAAGACATCAGCTGCGCCCTTGGGTGTGGCCCTGGCCCGTCGCACCATCCACAGGGTCATGGCTCCTCCTCCTGCTCAGCTCCGTGGCCTCGCTAGACTGCATGGTTGGTGTAAGTGACGTAAGTCTGTTTGGTGGCCAGCGCTGGAAGGAGAGAGAGCAAGGGTACCCAGGAATCAGGGGCTGCTGTTCTCCAACTCTCCTTCCATAGAGCACAGCCCTGCACAAGAGCCTGCCACAGCGCCCCACCTCTCATGGCACCCGGTCCTGAGCTGAGCAAGCAACATCGCCCCAAAGTGTGCACTGGCCCTGCCTGGCCCATCTGGCAGCTTCTCCTGCTGTTCCCAGCTCCCCATCCAGGGACTGGGCCCATGTTTCCCACCTCCACGCCTTTGCCGGGCTGGGCTGCTTGCCTTTCCTCTTCCCTTTGTCACTCTAGAGGTGACACCTCCCTCTAGCGCTCCCTCCCAAAGCCCACTCCTGTGTGAGGGTCTCCCCAGCATGAGGCCCCTGCCACCTCCTAATTCTACCACACTTCAAAAGAAATCTTCTTTACGACATCATATAACCTTAAAATATTATCAAAGAAAAGTCTTTCAGAAGTTCAACCACACACATTTTAGACACGCACACGTAAGGAATATACATTAAAATAGAAGAGTGGTCTAGGGAAAGAGAGTGGGGAATGGGGACAGAGGAAATAAATAATGAAAACCAGAGCAGGGCCATGCATGGCTAGAAACTAAGGCATGGGATTGACTCAGCCCTCTGCCCCAGGCCCAAGGAAACACAAGTCCCCCAGGGCCGCACGGCCCTCACAGCATCCACCCTTTCTACCTCTCGGCGCCCATCTCCCTCGGTCTTGAGCCCCCCTTTACTGCTCCTGTCCCTCTGGACTTTACTCCACACTGGGACTGGGGCGGGACATCAGGGTACCTCCCATTCCTGTCCACAGCTGAGTGATCAGCAGCTCTCATGGGCAGTGAGTGACCCCCGCCCCTCCAGAGTGCAGACCCCACAGCAGTCTAGTGAGGAGGCCAAAGAAACATCACCCAATTTGACAGACGAGGATCTGAGGCCAGAGGGGTGAGGGACCTGGCCAGACCCTTGGTTTTGTCTTGCCCAGCCAGGGTTTAGGGCTCCCTCAGCGGCCTGGGGGCCAGCTCAGTGGTGGTAATCAGGGCACTCTTGCTGCCTGGGGCAGGGGCTGGTCTGCAAGTGTGGAGAGAAGCAGTGGTGGGAGAAACCAGCTGCCCTTTGTCTTAAAGCTGCCCTGACCCTAGGTCGGGGTATGTCGGCTCAAAAAGGAGGCACATCTGCCAGACGCAGCCAGGGGCATCAGGTCTGGAGAAGAGGAAATTGGGGGACAAATGTGGTTGGTGGTCTACAAGTTGTCCCCCCAATCTTCTGTCCCCTGTTTCACTGGGCACATGACTCTGAAGGGCTGTTTCCCAGCCTCCCTTGCAGCTAGGTGATGCCTTACCTGACTGCGCCCTTCCTCATGAAACACACGTGGAAGGACTGTGCAACTCCCATGTCATTCAATTAAAATGAGTCTTTCCCCCATGCTTCTTCTCTTTTCCCTTCCATGAGGGGAACAATCATTGAGGTCATCTAGCCTCAGTCTTCAGGGAGCCAATGGAGAACAAGATGGAAGGATCCTGGGTCCCCACTCCCACCCAGCCACCGTGTCCTATTATAGCAGAAAGACACATCTGTCTGATTTGAGCTGCTCTGTTCTGGGACTTTTTTGTCATAGCAGCGTAACTAGAAGCCCACGAACAGGGGGATTGTGGTGTCCAACTATCAGTCTATCACATGTGGAAGAAGCAAACTGACCTGCAGTGGTTCACATAGCCACTGCGGCTCTTTTTCTGACCATGGGGGATAGAATGGGGTGAAAATGTTGGGGGCAGTTGGAAGCCCCTCAGGAGAAGTAGTCTAGGCACAAAGGGCTGCCCTGCTCATGTTACAGGCAGGGAAACTGAGGCTCAGCAAAGAAGGGGAGGAGCTGCTTGAGGCTCAGAGAGAGTGTGAGGCCTCCCTGCAAGGGAGGCATGAAGGTCAGAGTCCAGCTCAGTTAAAGGAAGAACTTTCTCCTGGCCAGGGCTGGATGGAGTCAGTGTTCTATGAGCTCTCTGTCAATAGAAAAATCCAAGCAGATGATGAAGAATCACTTAGCTGGATAAGAGTGGGCAAGTTTCAAGGCTTAGGTGCCACCTGGACAGGTGCCAATGGAAGAGAAATGGTGCCAAAAAAAGAATAAGAACAAACATGGCACCCTGCAGTTCATGAAGAATTATCAGCATCTCTGAAATGACCCATGTCCTTCCAGGGTGCTGGATGACCAAGAGGGCCGAGTGACCACGGGACAGGGCAGCTTGGATGGGGCAGCGTCCAGGAGGTGGCCTGGGATGGCAGGAGGTGCTGAGAGGGAGAACAGCACAGATCAGCACCCTGGGGGCAGGAGCTCAGATTCTAGTTGCAGGGAGGCCTCACACTCTCTCTGAGCCTCAAGCAGCTCCTCCCCTTCTTTGCTGAGCCTCAGTTTCCCTGCCTGTAACATAAGCAGGGCGGCCCTTTGTGCCTAGACTACTTCTCCTGAGGGGCTTCCAACTGCCCCCAACGTCTTCACCCCATTCTATCCACCATGGTCAGAAAAAGAGCCGCAGTGGCTATGCGAATCTCTGCAGGTCAGGCTGGTGAGAATCAATTCCCCAGGGTGCCATCAGCCCCTCGGGGAACTGATAAAACTCCGCTTCCAAGCCTGTAAAACCCGTCAGCAACTCCTGGCTCAGGGGTGGAAAAAACTCACAGCAGTCACAACCAAATCCCCACTGACTGCAGGGGACTCCAGGGGCAGCAGGGGACTCCAGGGGCAGCAGGAGACTCCAGGGGCAGCAGGGGACTCCACGGGCAGCTGCGGACTAGAGAACGCATGGAAAGCAAGGACCACAGGGTCTCTGCTCTCCTCTGATGCCTGACCTGTCTACCCTAGAAAATCCAGCTCACAGGTTCCAGAAGTTGGGGAGCCTTTCACCCAAGCCTGTCTCACCATGTGGAAAATGGGAGCCAGAGTCTGCCCAGGGCGCCTACGAGCTAACAGTGAGGCTCCAAAGGAAGGGTTCTGGCCAGAAGTCAGGAGACTTGGGGTCCAGTCCTGCCCACAATGCTATGGGGGAATCTCGACACATGCTGTGTCGCCCTTCCAACAACCTGACCTTCTCAGAGCCGAGATTCTCTCACCTGTAAGATGGGGTGACAGTAAGCACCACGTGGAGTCGCTAAGAGGTGAATAGAAACACTCTTTTTTCTGCTTTTAAGACAAAGTCTCGCTCTGTCGCCAGGATGGAGTGCAGTGGCACAATCTCAGCTCACTGCAACCTCTGCCTTTCGGGTTCAAGCGATTCTACTGACTCAGCCTCTCGAGTAGCTGGGACTACAGGCCCACGCCACCACACCCAGCTAATTTTTGTATTTTTAGTGGAGACAGGGTTTCACCATGTTGGCCAGGATGGTCTCGATTTCTTGACCTCGTGATTCGACCACCTCGGCCTCCCAAAGTGCTGGGATTACAGGTGTGAGCCACCGTGCCGGGCCAGAAACACTCTAAATCCTGCAACATGCTGGGCAGAAGGACGGGGCTGAAATCACTCCAGCAGTGGGGACAGGATGGGGACAGCAACACTCCCAGAGCACCCTCAGTGTGAGGGGAAGGCCAAGGGGTGTGGGTGTCGTCAGCCAGTGCTGACGACAGGCCCTGGCTGCCGGCTTTCAGTTGCCGGAGGCTCAGATAACAATTAGCCAGGCAGCACTAGGCGCCAGCTGACAACCCCCATTTGTCACCCCTTGTCTCCGCACCCACGCCCGATCTGCCTACAATCAGGCCCCTGAATTATTTATTCTGTTGTTTGTTTAAAGATACGTAGCCCGCCAGTGACAGAGTGAAAAATGTCCCTGCTGCACAGGAGTGACACTTTCCCACTCCTCCTGCTCACACCCCCTCGGTCCGGCTGTCCCCAGAATCAATCACCTGGCTCCTGCCTGGTGCCTCCATGGCCCCTGTTGTCACTGAGCTGAGAGACAGTGGGGCACAAGGTGCTGACCACTGGCCTTCACACAGGAGATGGGGAGAGGGGCTCCCCCTTTCCCTATCTTGGAAGCCCCTAAGACTTTCTGTGGGGAGGATGCCAAGGCCTGCAGGGGGTCTGGGTGACCACAGACCCCTCAGTCCCTCCCAACCCCAGAGCAGCTGGAAGTGAGGCCCATGGGGGCTGCCCCACAGCCTGGAGGCCCCCAAGCTCCTCCTGGGCAGGAAGCAGGGGTTTGGGGATACAGGGCCTCCCTCCTCAGGCCTCCATACTCCTCCTTCTCTGGCAGGAGTGGGTAGTTGTCCTGTGTTCCCAGGTGAGCAGCTGGAGCAAAGGCAGAAGGCAGGGCCGGCGCTGCGCCGTCAGAGCTCTCTGTGAGGGCCCCGCCCTTTATGGGGCCCCCTGGCCTATCACAGCACCCGCAGTGTCAGCCTTTGGAGTCAGATGTCACCTCTGGGAGGAGCTCTCAGGAGCACTGGGGAAACGCCCGCGTGACAGACCCGCTTCTGCACGTGGCAGAGAGGATGCCTTGAGGGAATGGGACCTGAGAGCTGAGAAGGGAAGTCTCCATGGGAAGGAAGAAAACTAGGGCAGGGGTGGGGTCCCCATTTGGGAGGAAAGGCCTGATCAGGGCCTCATCTGGGTTCCTGGACATCCAGGATGACATGAAAGGCCAAGGGTGGGAGTCCCATGGGCCCCTCTGCCCCTTCCCAGCTCTGTATGGGGGCCAGCATGGCACCCAAAGGGAGCCCCAGGGTCGTAGGTGGGGCTGGGAGGAGGAGTGTTCTGGGGGAGGAGGAGGTCTGTAAAGAACCAGAGGTCACAGGGGAGGGAAAGGGGGACACACAGGCATCCGGTGTTGATCAGAGATGGAGAGGGTGTCAGAACCAGCATACTCTCCACAACAGAGCAGCACAGGCTGGCACCCAGAGGAAGAGGGGAGTTGGCAAAGATGGTGGCACTGCCCCGTAACCAGCCCTGGAGGGACCTGTCCTGGCCAGCCCCAGACCGCAGGCCTGCCCCTCAGCCGCACGGTCCCTGCCTGGTGCCCTCTCCCACCGCAAAGCCTGACCTCCTGCTGGTGTCCTCAGACAATCCCTGGACAGGCGGCCCCCTGAGTGCTGCAGTAGGCAGTTCTGTGGGCCCCTCTGCCTCAACCTGCCCCTAACCCACCGGTCCTGGCCAGCCCATGTCCCAGGTCCCCATCACTCGGGTGCCTGCTAGGAGGTGGCTGGACAAAGCCAAGCTGGGTGCTACAGCTGCTCTGGGCCCAGAGCCGCTCCCACCCCCCCCGGGCTACCAAAGGGCCAGTGTGCAGGGCCCCTGGGACGACCCCTTCTCCCAGAGGGGCTGAAAGGACACAGGTGGAGACCTGGGCCCCAGAACCGAGAAATCCAGGGATCCCCCGCTCACCCTCAGGGGCCAGGCGCCCCCTGGTGGCCTGGCTCGGGGTGGGGCACAGATCCCTGGAAGGGCGCTGCTAGGGCACCGGCTGGGGAACCTTGAGGTTCTCTCCAGGCCACCAGGAGGGGCAGGGCAGAACGGGCTCTGATGTGGTGCCTTGGGGCTCTCCCTGAGAGGGTGGTCCCCACCTGTAGCCTCAGGGTTCCCCCAGTGTCCCCCGCCGCCTCCCCAGGATGGGGCATGGGGCAGGGCGGGGCGGAAACTCGGCCGACCTGCTGCAAAAGGAGCCCGGCCCCGGGCCCGAGGGGCCAGAATGGGGCCCAGCAGCTCACCTGGGGCCTCCAGATTTTCGCAGAGCTCAGACTTGGCCTCACCGTTGGGCCGGAAGTTGCCCTTCTGCGTGAACTTGTTGGACATGGCGGCCGCCGTGACGACGGCTTTGAGGCTGCGCTTGCGCTTGGGCACGTTCTGCTCCGGGTGGAAGAGGATGATATACACCTTGGGCATGTAGAGCATTCCCAGGGACACCGAGGCGCTCAGGCTCACGGAGACCGTCAGCGTCGTCGTCTGGATGTACAGCTGGCGGAGGGCAGGGTGGCGTCAGAGCAGGCTCCGCCCCGACTGCAGGCCCTGACCCCTGCCAGTTCCCACCCAGAGACACACATGGGGACCCCACCCTGCATCCCGCTGCCTTCAGGCATCAGGGAGTCGTGGCATGGAGCTGGGACTGCAGACCAGGGTTTCTGTATTCAAATCTTGGCTCACCACTTCCAGCTGTGTGATCTTGGACACATCACATCCTTGTGCCTCAGTTTCCTCATATATAATATGGGCGTGATCATGACAGTACTTACCTCCTAGGGCCGTTGTGAGAATTAAGTGACTTAATAAATGTTTAAAAAGTGTGGAAAACATCTGGCACATGGTAAGTGCCATTTCAGCTTACCGCTGTTATTTGCTGTGTAGAAGCGGAGCGCCTGAGGAGGGCCTCTCAGGAGACCACAGCCGGCCCTTCTCAGGGCTGAGGGTGAGAGGAGCACCCCCTGGTGCCTTGGAATAACACCCCGTGACCATGCCACAGCCCCTCAGACCAAGCCCCCATTCGGTGACTGCCCCCCACCGACTGTCCCCCCGTGCAGAGCCCAGGATCCTCGGCACCCATCGCAATATGGTGGTGGCAGCAGTCAGAGCTCGTTTCACGCTCGCTCGCCAGCACTAACGGTGACAGATGTTTAGCAAAATGAAAGCCCATTAATCTGGGTGTCGGATAATCCATTTTACAACAGTAAAGTCTTCCAGGCAGGGCCCGGCAATTCCCACTGTTCCCCGTCTGGGATTCCCCTCCCTGCCTCCCGCTTCCTCCAGGTTCTCCAGGCCTCAGCTGCCCCTCTGAACCCCTCAGCCAAGGTGGGACCAAAGGAGACCCAGGCTAAGCCTCCCAGGTCTGGGCATGAGGGAGGCAGGAAGTGCTCTTCCCCAAATCTGCTCTTTCTGAGCTCGGCCCTGCCCTGGCATGTGGCTGATGTGCCACCTCCTCCAGGAAGCCTCTCCTGACCCCCAGCTCTATGAGCACCCATGGCACCTTTCATTTCTTACACCCAGACCAGCAGTGTGGACACAGGTCTGGACTTGTGTCCTGAAGGCGCAGGGGCCCTGGCCCCATCTGGCACTACCCCCCATGTACGGACCAGGTCTTCATGTTCTTACATTCCTCCCTGTCCTTTGCACGCCCCTCCATAAATGCCTCATAACACTGGATGGCACGACCTTCATTTCCAGCCACCCTGCCCTGGGTTTCCTACCTTTGAGAGAGGGGCTAGAAAAGCTGCAGGGCCTAAAAGGAGAGTCCCGCCCTTCTGTGGGCCTCAGTTTTTTCCTCAGTGCAATGGGCCAAAAGGAGCTACCTCACCTAAACAGTGAGGGACCCCCAGACACAGACTGTAAAGCCACGTGAAAGTTGCTTTTAGTGACCGCACGCACTGAGGTGAAACTGAGAAGAGACATGGGGGACATGGGGGACGGCCGGACAGCTATGACATGCCCGAGCCAAGGCGCTGACGCTTTTCAAAGCCCAGCCTCCAGGCCGGCGTGGCCCACGTCAGGCAGAGCTCCGAGCGGAAGGAGGCTGAGAGCAGACACTGGTTCAGGAAAATGTCACAGGCCCAGGGGAAATGAAAGCCTGTCCCCCAGTAAGCACAGGCCCCTCCAGATACAGACAGGCCTCCATCCTCATACACCGCCTACACTCTCAACCCTGGGCGTGGGGCTCTCCCAGAGGGAAAGATCATGACCAGACGGCAGGGGGATGCTGGCCGTCTCTCCTGCCCAAGATATCAGGGTGAGAGGAGGCGGGGTGATGAGGGTGAGAGAGGGCGGGGTGATGAGGGTGAGAGAGGGCGGAGTGATGAGGGTGAGAGAGGGCGGGGTGATGAGGGTGAGAGAGGGCGGGGTGATCAGGGTGAGAGAGGGCGGGGTGATGAGGGTGAGAGAGGGCGGGGAGAGGCTCCAGAGCATCAAAACAGACCCATGGGAAATATCATAGAGTCCTGGACTAGTGGAGAATTGGCTTGTCGTCTGGGTCTTCACCATGGGGTGGTAGCTCCCTGGGGACAAGGTGTGTCTCCCTCGTTACATCAGGGCTCCCTGAGGGCAGGGGCTGGCTTTCCTCTCACACGGGGGGTTCTTGGGTATAGGGGTTGTATTCCAGGTGAGACACCCATCTTAGACCCTTTGCTCGCTCCTTGTTGATGGGTGGAGAGCAATGGGCCGTATGGAGTTGGTGGGACCAGGGACCGGGATAGAGGCAGAGGAACCCTTGCAGGGGACACAGTTCCATGTTGAGGGTCAGTGGCCCGGGTTCCAGAATCTACTTAGCCCCAGCCCACTGTGGGATGCTGGCAAGTTTCCTCCCCTCTCTGGGCACCAGACGCCCCTCCGTGAACACAGACAGGGCCAGCGCTATGGGTGTACAACTGTGCAGTCACCCCGGGGCCTGTGCCTACAAGGGCCAGCTCTCGCTTTAAGGTCCTGCTGCCACCATATTGAATTGTGGACAATTTCTGAACAGTGGGCCCGTCGTTTTCGTTTTGTGCTGGGCCCTGAAAATTATACAGCCAGCTCGGAACACAGGCGTGAGCACAGTCATTGGTGTTCTGTTTTGTTTTTCAGCCTAAGAGCCTTTCTGCAAACAAAATACAAGATGGGGTATAAAAAGATCAAACCCCTCCATCCCAGCATGGCCCTGGGGGCTCCTCTAGCCATCCCCTGCTGGGAGGTAGGCCCTGTACACAGCAGGAGGGAGCGGGGCTGCCCACCCCCAGTTCCGATCCTTGCCCCAGGGTGTGGAATTGGAGCCCCGCCACAAGAGCATGCCTCTGGCTCAGACAGTGTTTCTTGAGCCCCTCTGTGAAGGCACACATGGCCACCAGGAGGTGGTAGCAGGTTAACCCTTATCAGAGAAACAGTGGTCCTCTAGACCCCAGCTGGCACTCCCAGGGCGCCGGACCCAGGCACCATGAGGGTCTTAAAGGCAGGCGGAACGAGAGGCGGCCTTCGGGCTGTGATCTCCCCTCCTCTCCCACCCACCCTCTCAGCCCGCTGGTGCCTGAACTCCCACCACCCCAGCTCCCCTGTGTGGATGGGCCCTCGCTGCACCCCGTCCTCTGTGAGGAATCCTGCACTCAGCCTCACTAGGCACGTGCTCCCCACAGTGAAGGATGTGGTCTGAGCTGGGTTTGATGTGGGAGGACAGAGGACAGCTGGGGTGAGGAAAGGGCACAAGAAGGAGGAGCTGTGGATGTGGATGATGAATTTCCTGCTTTTGTGCTAGGCTTGGGGGTACAGGGTTCAAGGGGTCCCGGTGGGGGCACCAAGGAGCTCTGCCTGCCTTGTGCTTCTGCAGGCCAACCCTGATAGGAACCGAGATCCTCAGTATCTGTACAAACCAGACACATGAACTTCCCCACACCCTGCCTGCCTCTGCAGCCACATCCTACACAAGCATGACTGAGCAGTAACCCCATAGAGCGGAGAAAGCCTGCTCAGTGTAATTCCAAATGGCTGCAGTGTTAAGCCTTGGAAATCCAGGCTAAGGCTGGGAAATCCATCCGCCTGCTCACCAGAGCAGCACAGACAGCTTTACTCTGCGCCGGCACCCGCACCCCGGGGGAATGGGTGCAGCTGAGCACGTGCAAGTGCGTGTGTGCACACATGCATGCCTGCTCACACAATCAACATACACGTACGTATCTGCATTGACACAAACACCTGAGCTCACAGCTGCACCCCTGCATCCGACTCACTGGGCTCATACACCCCTTCACAGCCGGGTACACACATATATATAGAAACAAATGTACTCACACACATCTACACACATCCACTGGCACACACTAACATTTGCACTCACACATCTGCACACCTGTGCGCACAAACACCCCTGGGCACACATACTCAACCCACCCATCCATGCACACACCAGCAGCTACATACCCTCGGCACACCCATCAGCCCAGCCCCTCAATCTGCATGCACATGGGCACACACCTGTGCACACACACAACACACATGCACCACTGAGCACGCACATGCGTAAAAAGGCACACATACGTCTATACACACACACCTGTGTATGCACACCACAACGCCTACAACAGCCACACTCCACTTGATCTACACGCAAACACTCAGCAGCCAGACCTGCAGCCTGCACTGGGGCATCTTGCAGCTCGGCATGACACGGCCCAGACACAGCCCCAGGGTTCCCTGAGTCTCTAAGAAGCCTGGGAGTCTGAACCACAGCAACTGCAAAGCATATCTCCTCCACCCCCTCCTCATTCAGAGGCCCAGAGCGGGAGAGGGGCATGTCCCATGTCCTAGGCCACCAGGGAGAGGGCACATTGGTGTGAGGCCAGGCTGTCATATGACCTGGAACAAGTCCCTGTCCCCCTCTCAGACTGTGAACTGACCATCTCAGGGACTCCCTTCACAGCAGGGCCGGGGAAGCCTCCTAAAAAGGCAGGAATCAGAGGAGGGCAGGTCACCTGGAGAGATTGCAAAGGGTAGGGAGGCTGAGTTGGGGGCCTGGGCTGCATCAACTGGAGGTGGGAAGGCCTGATATCCTGGGATGACAGGGTATCAGCCAGGGGGAATTATGGCAAGGTGGAGGGAGGGGCTTAGCCACCACGTGTGGGCCTCCCAGGCAGGTACCTTTACTCCCTGAGGAGATGTGGGAAGGGGCCTCCTGGTATTATGGAGGGTAATTTCTCAAGCTGCCAGATTCCTGGGATGTGAGATGGCCTCCCTGCTGGCTCCATGGGGATCATGAGCACTGAGCAGCGTGAAGCCCTCTGCCTGCACCTGCACTCAGCAGGGAAGATCTCCCACAGCATGCCTGGTGGGGCCAGAGACCCAGCTCACAGCACATGCCGGGCGCAGTGGCTGCACGGTGGCTGTGTGGCTCAGGCATGCAAGGTGGGATCCTCCTGCTGAAGCAGGCCCTGTCTCAGATCTCAGGTCTTAGGATACTCACTGCCAGCCCCAAGGTCTGCCTCTTAGTGCCTCCCATAGGGCCCCCATTGGAAGATGGCCCTTGAGGAGCTGTTAGAAAAGAGGTGGGCACCAACCGAGGAAGTCCCAAGGCATGAGGTATCCCAGAGCTGCAGGGGGGAGGGGTGTGCTGGGGATGGAGGGTGCACTCGAGGTAGACAAAGTAGGGTCAAGCCCAGCTGTGCCACCAAGGCAAGTCGTCCCCCCTCTCTGTGCCCGTGTCCACATCTGTAAGCAGGGGGTGATGAGACCTACCCTGACCAGCGGCCACGGGGCCTAACAGCTGTTAGATGGAGTGTCTGGCACATGACGAGCACCCCATCCCATCGCAGCTTTGAAGACCAGGCATCCCTGCAAACTTGGACCTGCGCTTGTAGCTTTTTTTTTTTTTTTAATGAGATGAAGTCTCATTCTGTCACCCAGGCTGGAGTACAGTGGCGCAATCTTGACCCACTGCAACCTCCATCTCCCAAGTTCAAGTGTTTCTCCTGCCTCAGCCTCCAGAATAGCTTAGATTACAGGCGTGAGCCACCATACCTGGCTTCTTTTTTGTTTTTTTCATAGAGACAAGGTTTTACCATGTTGGTCAGGCTAGTCTGAAACTCTTGACTTCATGGGATCCACCTGCCTTGGCCTACCAAAGTGCTGGGATTACAGGCGTGAGCCACCGCACCTGGCCATGCACTCATAGCTTTAGATGCCAGCCTCAGGCTGATGACTTTTCAGTAATGTCTACAGCCCAGAACTTGCCCCTGAACTCCAGACTGCTATATTCAATCACTGACTTGGCAGCTGCACTTGGACGTCTAATAAGCATCCCAATTTTAGGACATCCAAAGGATGCCCTCTCCTGCCCCCTCACAGGCTCCTCTCATTGTCTTCTCCTTAGCACGGGAAACCCCTTCCTTCCTGATTGTTCAGGCCTCGAAGCGTGCTGTCCTCCTTGACTCTCCTGGTCTCCCATCCAATATGCCATCCATCGGAAACCTGGCCAGCCAGTCTCCACACAGGTCCAACTCCCCGACTCCCCACTGCACCTGCTGGGACACCCTCTCCTGCAGAGCATGGCAGTGACTTTCTCACAGCTGCTCTTGGCGGCCAGGGGGTCCTTCCCAACCTACATCAGATAGCACCCTCGCCTGCTCAGAAGACCGCAGCGGCCTCTCTTCTCACTCATGATAAAAGCCAATGTCATTGCCACCATCTGCCCTGTCACCTCTCTGACCTCGTCCCTCACCCCTCTGGCTTCCTCGGCTCCATGCTCCTTACAGTGTATTAACTGTCTGTGCACCCACTATATCATGTGATTATGACTACAGGAGAAGGGACATGGCCCCAATTTACTGATGAAGAAACTGAGGCGAGGGAGGCCAACTGGCTTTCCCAGATCCCACACTTATACACGGAGCTCAGACCAAGACCTGGGGCCCTTGGTTCACCATGATGCCCCTGCCTTCAGCGACTCCCAGTCCTTCAAGATAAAACCCACAAGTCACCCAGCCAGCACTAGGGCTGGGATGTGGGCAGAACACACAGGACTCTTGGGGTGTGCCCAGGTCCTCAGGCCAGGCCAACAGGAGGCTGAGGTAGCCACTCTGCAGCTCCCGCCAAGGGAAGGAAGGGCCCTCTGCCAGGCCCTAGCCTTTGGGCTTCCGGGTCAGCCTGGGGCTAGGGAGAGAGGGAGGGTCCCATGGGGATCTTGTGAGGAGTAGACGGAGGAGAGGGAAGAGAGGAGTGGACCGAAAGGAAGACAGGGCTGAGTGGGGAGAGAGAAGAGAAAGCGGTCTAGAAAAGAAGGAAGAATGAAAGAGGGTGCGGCCTCTCAGGCTGAGAGAGAGGAGAGGGGAAGGGGCACGAGAACAGGGGTAGGAAAGGAGGGAAGGAGATGGGGTAGGGGAAGCAGAGATGGAGAGACTGGGAGAGAGAGGAGGAGGGGGGAAGGAAAACAGGAGGAGGATGGAAAGAGGGAGTAAAGGGGGGCTGAAGGAGAGAGGAGGAGGAGAGAAAAGGAGACATGAGACAGAGAGAAAGGGGGAGAGAGAAGAGGGAGGGGGCAAGAACAGAGAAAGAGGAGGGAAAACCCAGAACCCAGAGAGAAAACTTGGAACTGAGAGAGAAGGCAGAATGGCATGAAAGAAGGCATTTCCGGAGCAGAGGAGAGGCCAGCCAGCCTCAGGAGGCTGCCCCCTGCTCACTGCCCTCACCCACTGCTGTCCACCCCCAGCCCCCACCACTTACCTTGTCGGCTGACTGCGAGGTGCCAAAGAAGATGGGGATGAAGGCCAGCCAGACGATGCAGGTGGTGTACATGGTGAAGCCAATGGGCTTGGCCTCGTTGAAGGTCTCGGGCACGCCGCGTGTCTTGATGGCGTACACGGTGCACGTGACCATGAGCAGCATGCTGTAGCCCAGCAGGCAGATGAGTGACAGATCTGAGATGTCGCACTTGAGCACACCCCTGGCGAAGCGGGGGTCGAGCGTCCGCTGGTCCTGGAAGTCCACCACCGAGTGGGAGGGGTCCACCACAAACCACACACAGATGCCCAGCAGTTGCAGCGAGATGAGGCTGAAGGTGATGGCCAGCTGCGAGGCGGGGCTGATGAAGCGCGGGGCACTGACCGAGCGCTTGCCCTGCTCGAAGATGCGGTAGATGCGGTTGGTCTTGGTGAGCAGGGCCGCGTAGCTGATGCTCATGCCTAGCCCCAGGAAGATGCGGCGCAGCGAACAGGTGCCGAGGTCGGGCTCGGCGATCATGAGGAAGGTGGTGGCGTAGCACAGGAAGATGCCCGCCAGCAGCACGTAGCTCAGTTCGCGGCCCGAGGCCTTGACGATGGGCGTGTCGTTGTAGCGCACAAAGGTGATGACCACGAACAACGTGGCCGCGATGCCCACCACGGCCAGGAAGAGCGGCAGCACAGCCCAGGGCGAGTCCCACTGGAGCTTGATGATGGGGATGGGCCGGCAGCCCGTGCGGTTCTCCGTGGGCCGCATGTCGTAGGGACACGTCTTGCAGGTGTAGCGGTCCACCTGGTACTGGTACCCTGTGCAAGGCTCGCAGTGCCAGCAGCAGGGCATGCCCTTCACTGTCTTCTTCCGCTCGCCCGGCTGGCAGGGCAGGCTGCAGATGGAGCGGGGCAGCTGCTGGCCGCTCCCCGGCCAGTGCATCCGCTCTATCTGGCAATGACAGCAGCGTAGACCAGGCCTCAGAACATGCCACCCAGCACCCGGGACCATTCCACTGGGTGGGGGCACCCTGTAGCCCCACACCAAAATCACCCAGCCAGTTGGCTAAAAGTCCAGCTGCCCGGACCCCACAGGGACGCATTGCATCTAACAGCTGGAATTAAACAAGCTCTCCGGCATAACTCACACATAATCGGCCTATAGGGAATCCTGATTGAACCCCAAACTCTCAAGACTCATATGAAGAAACTGAGCCCAGAAAGCAGTAGTGACAATCTAGAAACACAGGAAACACCAGCGGCAGGGCAGAGAGAACTCAGGAGTCCTGACTCTCAGCCCCTAAGGCCTTGCCACCCACAGTGGTCCCCAGAGTGGCAGCAGCAGCCTCACCCAAGAGCTTGTTGGAAAGGCAAATTCCAGCCCCATAGACCTACTAACTCAGAATCTGAGTGTCAGCAAGACCCCCAGATGATTCCTGCACACACTGGAGTATGGTGGACGCCCTGCCCTATGGCCCGGCCCAAGGCGCCCCTGCCAAGCAGTACTGGGGGTTGGATACAGCAGAGGGCAGCGAACAGAGGTTTCATCAGAGAATGTTTAATGTGTGCTCAGGGGTTAGCATTTCTTTACATCTTGCTCTAAATTAGTGCTACTCACAGTTACATGTCCCTGAAGACACAATGGCCGTGAGCAAAAGAGCCACACATGTGTTGTCACTCCCTACTGAATATGTTACAATATTCTAGACAGTGAGAGTCCCAAAAGAGCCTCAGGCACCAGGCAAAGGGACTTGACTACACCCGGGTGCTGTATTCAAAGCGACTGTTCTAAATAAAGCGGCTCATAGGAAGGCTCGCTCGCAGAGCACAGCAAGCCTGGCTAGACCGGTGCGTTTGCACTGGGTGCTAGCTGCTGATAAAGTGTAACCAGCTGGTTGGGGGGTGTGGGGAGGGCGTTAGAGCAAAAGGGATAAGGTGGGGTGGGTAGGGATGCCCCGTGGCAAGGTAGGAAGGAAACCTCAAGGAAGGTTGTCCTGTGACTCTGGGCATGACAGGCTATGGACTACCTCAGAAGCCAAAGGCACAGGGCAAGGACAAGTGCAACCTGTCCTGCAGGAATGCAGAGGCAGACGGTCCCTGTGCCCTGCAGCCCTGCAACTGCAGGGGAAAGACTGCCCTGGAGGGCACGGGCAGTGGTGAGCGTTCTGGAAAACTCTGTGGTTCCAATGGAAAGAGACATGACCAAGGTCAAGTCCTGGGATCACAGTTCTGTTGCTACCTCGCTGTGTGACCTTGAGCAAATGGCTTCTCTCTGAGCCTTTGTTTTTTCATCTGATCCAACGAAAGCAGATATGAAGCCACTCTGCCCTTTGTTTCTTGGAGTGACTTCCATTGGGAGTCATAATGGATATGCTTTTTAATATTTCACTAGAATGTCAGCTCCACAAGGGCAGGGAGCACTGTGTCAATTTCCCTGCTGTGTCTCCAGCCCGCAGCACAGGCTGGCACACAGTAGAGGCCCAGTAAGTCTCTGTGGCATCTATGAAAGAATAACTGCACAGGTGACAAGGTCCAGGGCACCAGTGACGTGAGACCGCCACACTCTCAGACCCTGGAGGAGGACAGTGGCCAGGTAGGTGGTTACAGGTAACTTGCCTGCTCTGTGGCCCTCACAGCACAGCCCAAACTGAGCCACTCACAGAGACATTGGGGAAGGTTGATGGTTAAAGCCCAGCCCCGCTCACCTCCTGCCTCCCTCTCCGTTCTGTCCGGGCCTCACAGTCGAGGAGGACTAAGAGGGCATTGTGAGCTGTGTCAGAATGGGATGAAGATGGTCCGGCTGGTGGAGGGGACTTGTATTCCCAGAGAGGGGACTTTCAGGGGAAGGGCCCACTGCCACCCACACCTGCCCAGTCCCTGCTACCTTCAGTTAGGACATCTGGAAAACAGGGATAACGGCCTGCCTCACAGAGCTGTCATCCTCACAGCAAGGGGCCGTGCTTAGAGCAGCAGCTGGGACATAGCAGGTGCTCGCTATGTGCTAGCTGCTGCCGCTAGTGAGTTCCAGTCCCCGGCCCCCGTGCTCTGCCCACTGCACCAAAACAAGACAGGCCCCTCTCTCCACTTGGTGGTGTTCCACTTTGCCTAGTGCTCCTCACACCCCGTTCTGCCCATCTCTCTCCACTCAGCAATCCGAAGAGCCTCACTTAGGAACGGGCTGTTCCTGCCACAGTGTGGCCTTAGGAGAGTCCTTCTGCCTCCCCAGGGCTGTGTTTCCTGAGCTATTTTCTCCGACTTAGAAGATGATTAGGCTAAATGAGAATGCAGTCCAAAAGTGCTTTTAAGAGCAGAGCTTGAGGTGTTCCTAGCTGGAAGAGATTACAAGTGGAGACAGCGGGGCCTCAATGCAGCACCCACGGGATCCCGGGACGAGGAGGGCTAAGGCCAGATGAGGACCTGTCTGAGTCTCTGCAGTCCATCCTTGGGGTCACAGTGGGCCCACCTCGCTGGTGGCTCACCCCTTCCCTTGCAAGGTAGAGGCCAAGTCCACAAGCACTTTCTCAGGAACAAATCAAAGGTCTTTTCTCTCCAAAAACACTGCTGTGTTTCCCAGCTGGGATACTGAGGGCCAGAAAGGGAAAGTCACCACATCCCTGGGACATTCTATTAGCTAGGAAGGCGTGGCTAGGAGGAACCAGAAACATGGCTGCCTTCTATCGTGCTCTGACAGGGCTGGGGAACTGGCAACTGGCTCGCTACCCACCAGCCAGTGCCACAAATCCCGTTTGATCTAGGTCCTTTGCCTTAAGACTTCCCTCCTTTGCCCAAATACAGCCCTCCCCCTCCCCATCTTATTCCCCCTTCCCCTCATCACCCCCATCAACGTACCCAAAAAGCCTTTGAGCCATTTCACTCCAGCGTGAATTCCTCTATCCAGTGTCCCCCATCCCCTGCTCAATGGGTAACAGGTAAGAAGCCCCCAGGCTAAGGGAGAGGGCAGGGACCAGAATGGCCGCAGAACTCCGACTCTCCTGTCTTCCATGTCAGGGTGGGGGCCTCAGAGCCACTGAGGTCTGGGACGGGGCCCTGGGAAGGAAGCCCCAGGCTGGCAGCAGCAGTCCTGGAGGTCCGCGTAATCAGAGGCAGCCTCCCCTTGGGCCTCCCTCCCAGGGGCTGGAACTGCACGAGTGACTCTCCACCTGTTCCCCGCCTTCCCACTTACTCTAAGGTGCAGGTGGTCAGTCCAGGAGCCAATGACCTTGTACTCGGCAGAGTCGTTGCGCAGCTGGTATTGGTAGATGTCATAGCGCCCAGGTGCATCTCCATTCTCATTGAAGGTCACGGGGTTTCCTGCAATGCCTGTAAGGGTGGGCCCCAGAGGCAGGCAGGATGATGAGCCTAGGGCAGAGACCTCTCTACACCCCTTCATGGAACATCCTTGGAGATTTCGCCTCTTGGAAACATCAGAAGAGGCCTCCCATTCCCACCCCACGAAGTCTCGGGACCCCTTCCCTCGGGCGTGGCCCAGGATACCCAGGATTGGGCAGGGCCCGCATTACATCCCCACCTGAGAAGTTGACGTTTCGGATGTACTTAAGCAGCTGGGTGCCATCCACGGGGTCCATGCGTGGGCAGAGCCCCACGCGGCCGGGACACAGGTCACGGTGCATGGCGTGCAGTGCGTGGCCCATGGCATACACGGCGTCGATCACAAACTGCACCTTGCCCTCCTGCTCATAAGCTGAGTCCTGCCCAATTCGCTCACGGTCTGCAATGAAGCACCAGGAACAGGAATGCTCGTGAGGCCCCTGTCCTCACAGTGGAGTCGTGGGAGCCAAAGCACCCCCTGGCACCTGGAGAGGTGACACAGCCTGTCCGTCTGTGCTCAGCCAGGCCTCCTGACTCCCAGCCCAGTGCTCTATCACACAGGAGATGGCCTTGTGCAGGAGCCTGGGGACAGGCCCATGGATGTAACGGAGAATCCACCAGCCTGGACACCGTACCACTGATGCCTGTGCCACCCAAGGTCCCAGGGTATCCAGGGCAGACTCCCTTGTCACCTGTCACCCTGGAAGGCAGTGGCCCAGAGGTCTCGCTGTGGCTGTGGCCCCTGCTGCCTTCCCCCAAGCCTGGCCTGGGGTAATCTTGGGAGCAGCTGCCCCTTTTGTCTGGGAAACAGCCAGGACAGAGGCTGTGTCCATCAATGACGGGAGTGCCCCTAAAGCCACTCACCCACGGGCAGCCACTCCAGCCAGAGGTGAGGGTTGCCCTCACCCCAGGGCATGGGTAGGGAAATTGAGGCTCAGAAAGGTTGAAAGACTGCCCTCCATGGTTTCCAGTCACCCTAGACACCAGAAGGCACGATCGCCCCCACCCACCCCTCTGCCACCTAAGGGACAACTCTCCTGTCCCCTAGTGGCCAGCGTCAGCGAACTTTGTAAACTGAGAAACCCATCCCCACTGCCTTCTCATTGCTAACCAGAGTGGCTCCCCAAGGCACCGTGGCCTGGAGGCCTGACCTCGCATCCTCCTCCCCTCCCCTCCTTGTCTACCTTGTCTGCTCTGGGGCCCTGTACAGCCTCCTTGGTTGTCCTTGTTAGCCAAAAGGGGATCATGATTCCACCTCACAGAGCTGCCGTGAGGCTTCCATGAGATAAAGTACTGAAAACACTTGGCAGCCAGCAGGTGGCTCGTCCACAGTACCCTATGCGCTAAGCATGCAGAACAGGAGCTTCTGAGGGGGCTATGGAGTCCCTGGGGTGGGCAGGTGGGACGACTTTGTGGAGGAGGAGGTGGCTCCTGGCCTGGACCCTGGGTAATGATATTAGATAACATGTTGAATAGCATCAATAACATTAAGTAAGTCACTTCACTGAGCACCTGCTACGTGCCAGGTATTGTACGGAACTCTTATGCATATTCATTCAATTGATTTCTCACAACAATGCTATGGCATAATCACCCCCACTGTAGAGATGAAGAAACTAGCCGGGCACCGTGGCTCATGCCTGTAGCCCCAGGACTTTGGGAGGCTGAGGTGGGTGGACCACTTGAGGTCAGGAGTTCAAGACTAGCCTGGCCAACATGGTGAAACCCTATCTCTACCCAAAATATCAAAATCAGCTGGATGTGGTGGCAGGTGCCTATAATCCCAGCTCCTTGGGAATGAGGCAAGAGAATCACTTGAACCCTGGAGGCGGAGGGTGCAGTAAACTGAGACTGCACCACTGCACTCCAGCCTAAGGGACAGAGTGAGACTCCATCTCAAAAGAAACTGAAGCACTAAGCACAGAAAGGCTCAGTAACATTCCAGGACCATGCAGAGCTGATGTGAACCCAGGTACTCCAGCTCCAGCCCTGAGCACCACACTATGCCAGATGGGGAGGGGTGGGCAGAATGTTGGGAGGAGAGCAGGGATGAAGTGAGGACGTGGGGTAAGAGGATGGCTGGGTGGAAGGAGAGGATGGGCAGAGCTAGGGAGACCTGGCTTCCCCTCCCAAGACCACAGTCCCTGCATACAGCATGGCCTTTTTCCCCCCGAGGCCAGGACAAGGAAATTACTCCTGCTACGCCTCCACTCCTAGGCCGTGCCTCTCAGCTAGAGGGCATGTGAAGAGGCAGTTCCCCAGAGGGCAGCAGGTGCAATGCACAGAGGCAATTCCCCAGAGGGCAGCAGGGTGAGCGGCTGCACCTGTGTCCTACTTCCATGTGCCAGAGTTAATCTGGGTCCACACAGGCGGTGATTCCCCGGAGACTCGAGGTCACTGTGTCCAGGCCCCTGCCTTGGACACCTTGGAGGCAGACCCAGGGTGCAGGGGATCTCACTGCCTCTTGCTGAGGTCTGCTGCCCCCTCTAATCCCCTCACACCAGGCAGGACAGTGGCCGCACCCACACAAGGATGTGGGGATGGGGGTGGCTGGCCTGGTCACTCATTAGCCCTGCCAGCCAGAACCACATCCCATTTTCAGCCTTGCTGAGGGTAGATAGTCGCATATTGCTGAATGGACAGCAGAAACCATGGAACCACAATGCTAGGGACGCCAGGACCACGGGGTCATCTGCCCCCACAGCCATTTTAAAGACAAGAAAACTGAGGCTGGTGGGGGAGCCCAGGTCACACAGCCAGCGGTGACAGGATGGGCATCCCTGGCTTCCAGACCCCACCCCTGCTCCATCCCAGGCTGCATTTGACCGTGTCTGCAGGCTTTGCTAACCAGCAACACTCTTTCTAGGCCAAGGCACAAACAGACAGGGTGAACATGAAAGGCAGCTTCACCATCCTGCCTGTCCAAGGCCTCTGATCACAAGGTCACGAACGCCTAGGGAGAAATGGAATGGATGACCCCATCCCCAAAGGACACAGAGAAGGCTGGGGCAGTGTCACCAGAAAGAGCCTCCCTAGACCCACACTTGCTCCCTGCAGGCCCCTAGGCCCTGCCCTCACCAGCCTGAAGAAGCATAAAACGCGCTTGACTCACCCGCAGCTCCCATCACACCCTCATCTCATATAAATGAGACTAAATTATTTACCAGTGATGGAGCAGGAGGCTGCAGCCACTGCAGAGAGGAGCAGCTCTCTCCTAAGGCCAAGGACGCATCCAGCCATTGGAAGCTGGCGGGATCTCTGGGGAAACACACCTCCCCCACGAGGCTGGCCTCAGCCTCTCCTCAGAGGGTCTCATTGAAGCACCCACTCCTGGGCCACTTGGGCTCCGGGCCAAGTGCTCTCACTGCAGTCACGAAGCCATCAGCATGGATGCTAGTGTGGATATCCCGCAGGAGCTCCCTTGCCAGGGAAACCTGCCTCCACCCCAGGCAGCCCTGGGGGAAGGGCTCAGTGCTGGGCCTGGGTTGCTGCCCCTACAGAGCACCCCGCCCAGCGCTGTCACAGCAGCATGGACTTCCAGCAACTTCTCAACTAGCTGTGGCCTCCTGGACTTTGTCTCAAGTCTAGCCCCAGTAACATATGGAAGACTGGGGTGCAGTGAAGTCACCAGGCTGTAAGCATGACTGCCACACACACACACACACACACACACACACACACACGCAGATACACATACACAGAGACACACACACACACACACAGAGACACACATACACAGATACACAGACACATACACACACATGCAGACACATACACACACAAATACACAGACACACAGATACACACATGTACACAAATATATACATACAGACACATACAGACTGAAACACATCACACACACAGACACACACATATACACATGCAGATAGACACACACATATATACACATATGCACACAGAGATACAGACATGCAGACACACATACATACACACATACACAACACAGATACACGCATGTACACATACACATGTATACACGTGCACACACAGATACACACATGCAGACACACATACACACACAGAGACACACAGATACACACAGACACATACAGATGCATACAGACACACATATACATATACACATACAGACACACTGAAACAGACATACACACACCACACACACACAGAGATACACACATATACATATATACACATACACACACAGATATACACAGAGACACACACACCACACCACACACACACACACACACATGCATACACACATACACAGAGACACATACACACACACACAGAGACACACATACACAGATACACAGACGCATACACACACATGCAGACACATACACATACATAGACACACAGATACATGTATACAAACACATACACATACAGACACATACAGACTGCAATACACATACCACACACACAGATACACATGCATACACATATATACACATGCAGATACACAGACACACACACATATACACATATGCACAGAGATACACACATGCAGACACATGCATACACATATACACACGCAGATACACACATGTACACATATACATGTATACACATGTGCACACAGAGATACACACATGCAGACACACAGACACATACACACACAGATGCATACATACACACATATACATATACACATACAGACACACACTGAAACAGATATACACCACACACACACACTGAGATACACACATATACATATATACACATACACACGCACAGAGACACACACATTGAAACAGACACAGGCACACACCACACACACACACACACACGCGCATGCACACACTCCTGAACCCTGGCCTCAGATGCCCCAGGCCCTCCTCTTGTGCCCCACAGGGAACAACAATGACAGGGCTGAGGTGGCTCCCTGGAGGGGCAGCGGGGCATGTAGGGGAGGGGTGAGGGATACTTCAGGAACCACAAACCTTCACTAAACCAGACACGACGCTCTGGCCTCAATGAGCAGCTGCAACTATGCCTGTGACAGCAGCAGCTCTGGGCTCACCTAACCCAGCTCCTCAGCAGGTGACTCTGTAGCCGTGGCTCAGGCTCACCCAGAGCTGTCGTGTACCTGGCACCTTGTCTTCCCACAGCTCTGGGAGTCAGACTTCACTGGCCCCTTCACAGGGGAGGTGGCAAGGTTTGCAAGTGGGTGGGTGACATCCCAGAGCCTCACAGGAATCCTGGCACCCAGTAGGTGTTTGACACATACCTATGGACGGAGCTAGCTGGGAAGTGATGGAGCTGGGATTTGAACCCAGATCTCTCCGGCTGTCCAAAAGAGTCTTCAGTATCCTGAACTGCCCCTCCTCCATTTAGTCGCTGACCTGCCTCCTTCCTCCTGTCCTAGGACCCAGGCCCTGCCCCCACTGACTGGCCAGGCCTAACCAGGGATTG